CTGAGGGATTTTTTTGCAGGTGGCCTTTGTTGTATTAAGGCAATTTCCTTCTATTCTTAATTTTTTATAGTTTTTATCATGTAAGGATGTTGGACCTTGTCAAATGCATTTTCTGCATCTATTGAAATGATAATGTGTTTTACACTTCTTCATTTCTTAAATATGGTACATTACATTTATAACCTTGTATATGTTGAACTATGGTTGAATCTATGGGATAAATCCACTTTACTATACTGAACCGTCTTTTGTTGTGCTGTTGAATTTTACTTGTTAGGAATCTGTTGAGGATTTTTACACTTATACTCAGCAAAGATGTCGGTCGGAAATTTTTTTCTTACAGTGTCTTTATCTTTCTCTGATATCAGAATAAGGCTGGCTTCATAGAATGAGTTTCTATCTTCAAATTTTTCAGATTTTTGAGAAGGATTTGTACCAGTTGTTTTCTAAGTGTGTGATATAATTCAGCTGTGAAACTATAAAGTACCAGATTTTTCTTGCATGGGAAATTTTTGTCATTGATTCAATTTACTTACCTATAGGTCAGTCTGCTGACTTGTGAATCAGATTTCAGGATTTTATTAAGATGTCTATTCTCTCCTCTTTCAAATTAATCTCAAAGAAATCTCATCGTGCAAAAAAAAATCAGAACAAGCATTTTTATTGAATTTATTGGTACATGTTATGTATACAATGTAATAACATTCATCATTGGGAATTTGTACCTTTCCATGATATATCTTGGTTCTTATTTTTCCCCGTTCTCCTGCCCTCCCTTCAATCCCTCCACCCCTCCCTGTTTACAAAGACTTTGTTCCATTTTTTCCTTTTCTCATATTAATTCCATTCCTTTCTTTCCTTTCCTCAGTCCCTCCCACTTCCCCTTCTCCTTTGGACCTTTTCTTCCTATTTCACTTTATCTGTTATGCCTTTTGATCCTTATTTACACTTTCAGGAGAACAGACATTTTTAAATTTAAATTTTATTCTCACATTATATTGAAATATAACTCCACCCACGGCCTTGAATAATGTACAAAAGATTTGCTCATTTATTCAGACTAGAAAAATTACAGAATCTTTGAGTTTATTGTTAACAAATACTTTAATGAGCATTTTGAGAACTCAAAGTGATAAAGCAGAAAGTTCTACATGTCTGTAATTTTAAGACAATTCACATTAAACAGAAATGCATAAAAGTGCACATTCACAAACACACTTCTTCCTCAGAGAACAAAATAGATGCTATGCAGGATTGAGGGAGATCATTTCTTAATATAAGGCCCAAAACTTTAGTTTTCTCCTCACATTACAGAGATGGGGAAAAGAAACTCAAATTGCATGAGCAGCTTAACTCAGTCATTAAAAATGTTTGCAGTCAATGGGATTTAAGTGCATTCTCCCTAGGTATGTCTTCTGCAGGGTATTTATAATCCAGTCATGGAACTGTGCTGGTAACCTGGTTCTAAAAGGGTGCTAACTGGTGAGTTGATTACTTGGACATATATACATAATTGTTTCAGTGCATAAACAATGCTTTGGGAGGGATAAAAATGTACTTTTAGAGTGCAATCTTTACCCAATATTTACTTGGCATTTGAGTGTGAAAATGCTCACAAATAATTTTATTCTAGGGAGACTAATATTTAACTAGTTTCTGAAGACAAAATACTCTTGCCTTTAACTTTTTCCCACAAGGTGGCCGCCCATCAATTTTTACTGTGGAGATGTGATAGATGACAGTAATTACTAAAATAATGTGAATTTTGTGATAGATGACATCAGTTAGTAAAACAGAGTGGGTTTTGTGTTAAATCATGCATAAATTTGGGGGAAACAAAGTGAAACCTCAGTAGCACTGACTGTGCTGCAGAAAATGAGTTCTGTACAGGTAGTGATTCCACACAAGAAATGTGATCATTACCTACTACAAGCATGTACTAATGAAAAAATGAAACTTGAAAAACTAAGTAAATAATGAAAAAAGTAAATTGCAAGGAAATAATTCACATATGAATGTAAATAGAAAATAATTTAAATAAGAGTGATGGTAATTTCAATGAAGGGAGGACACGAAAAATTACAAAGGAAAAGAACATACTTAAAGTAGATACAAAACATATGAGTAAACTATTTCTTTCTTTTACCATTACTTTATAAGTATATTTGTTGAAAATGTTTTTTATTCCTGCACTAAACAGATTAACTAGTAGCTCATTTTTAAATAGCCTCTATTAAAATTCTATATACTAAGCAATTTTTAGATTAAGACATCATGAAGTTCAAGGAAGTCTTGAATGCTAATTGAGAGTGAAAGAGCATAGTCTAGAAACTTCAGATCAAATTAGAATAATTTTGCTTAGTTTACTGGGGGACTTCACCTGAAAAAGGGAAGTTGGTATTCCAACACTAGGTAGGGAGGGAGTAGAACTTTAAGAATGTAATTTGATTTCTGAAAAGAATATCATTCTGTGAAGGATTCTCAGAGGCAATTGAGGATTGTCTTACATGCATTCTACAGAGACGTGTGTATGAGCTGAAAGTATAAGCTCACACATTAAGAAATGAGAACAGTGGGACTCAAACTCCAGTTTCTTTTCTCCTATTTATTTTTCTTACATGAGCAATAGCCTAGAATGCAGTATCATTACCCAAGTTTGGAGAATAAAAGAGAAATCACTCCCTCAAAAGTGTGTGCACTGTTCCAGGGTTCCAGGGTTGGTGTACACATTTAAGAAGCTTGAAGTGATTTGGTTGTGGTTTTTATCTAGAGATTGCCTAACCTTTCTTCAAATGGCTAAAGTGAGGCAATGATTGAAATCCAGGATTCTTGGCTTTGCCTGATATATTCAGGCATGTGTGCAACTTCAGTGGAGGAGAAATAGGTTTAATGTCGAATTTATTCAATGCTTTAGTTTTTTATTTTTTAACTTTTTAAAGGACATACTGAGATGCTTGTGAACTCCTCTGTAAAAAGGCAGAAAAAACTCAGCCTTTCAGACTTGGTTAGCTTGCTATATGTTGGTTATGTAAATATGTACAAATTCTTTCACCTACATAAGCCTAAAATATATGTCATTTATTTTTCTTTGTGTTTCATTACTATTAACACAACAACATTCATCCACCACTACATCCTGTTAAATGCTCTTCCCCATCTATTGTCAAAGTTGAGCCTCAGTACCAATCACTAATTTTACAGAACAAGATATATTTTGTTACATTTCAAATAAAGTAAAAGCTCTTTTGCAAATAAAGTATCAAAGTTTTCAAAAATCACATCTGAAGCTAGTGGCTAGATTATGCCATGTGACCAGAGATTGACCCAAATCATAAGAATAGATTTTTACTGGTAAAAGTTTTAAATTCTAACAGTTAATCATGGAGTACTGTGGGTGGGAAGTCTCAATCAAATAGAAAAATTATCAGGTAGAGAAATTAATCATCAGCCTTACTCTTCTGCTTCAAGGCAACTCGAAATCCAAGTAATATTTTTAGGGAACTCAACAAATGAAGACAAATCAATTCACTAGAATTAATGAGAAAACTCTTACCCTTACTCAGAGTTTTAGTTTCATTTGATGCTCTTCCTATGCATGAAATGCATGAAGCAGTATTTTTCGGATAGATTTTTAAATTGTGTTTATATATGATTATGTTTGTGAACACAGAAATGCATGTCAATTCATTTTTAGAAAAATCCAAACATTATTATATTCAAACTTATTTTTTTATCCAAAGAAAGTAAAATACTTTTTCTTATTTGCTGGTAAAGTATGTATTGTAGTGGCCTGAGTTGGGGAAGATCAGAACCTATTCCTGAAAATGGTGACATTCATCTAATTCTCATGGGAATGAATGTGTTTTATTTTTAAATTCAGTTTCTGCTAAAAAGTGATTATTTATTGTTTGGGTAAGAATATTAGCTTAATTGCTGGTAATGAGGAGTAGTGGAGGAAATTTAGTAAGATTTCACCGAGAGGCAAAGTGTGAGGGTAGGGCTGAGAATGTGTGTTATCAAAGGGCATGCATTTTAAGGTGATTTGTTAAGAATTAATTGTAAACATTTTAACTTAAAATTATAAAAACAAAAATTGATGGAAATAATTCAGTATCATCTTTTTAGCAACATCTACAACTGTAACAGCTTAACTCTAGGTCAAGTTACCACATATTGCTATGGATGGACTTTAGGTAATCAAATCCTATTGGTGTGATACGATGTTTACAGACTGATTATGAGAGTCACACCTTTCCCATATTTTCTTTGACTTGAAATTAAAATCTCTCCCTGATAATGAAAGAAATTGAGAGGTTGACGGAGAGTATTGGTCTCAAAATACTTTAATATTGTTAAACATTGTTGTATTTGCTCAAAATCTACTGAATGGTTTCCCTGATATTATATAGCATTAGACAACTACTATTCATACCATTATTTAAATGATATATACAAATATGTCTAGAAATTACAAAGAAATTTCATATTCTATTGTGAATGTCACAAGGAAACGAATTGAAGATAAGGCATGTTTTCCCACTTTCTTTATTTGTGCTCAAATAAATTAGATAATTGACACAAGACAAAGGCCTGGTATCATACGGTGCAAAGAATATGGACTATGTTCCAATTTGTCTGCATGTGAACCACATTTCTGTCCGGAAAGTTCATGGAATTGGAAAAAATAATTGCATTAGACAAATTTAGAAAAATGCATACCTTTAATCACAATATTGAAAGGTATTTGACTTATCAAATATAATACCCTCCATTATGAGCAAACTTTAGTATAATATTCTTCAGTGCAGAGCCTTTTAAAAAATTCATTTATTAAGTTTATTTGGAGGTTCAGTTTTCTCTAGGATCTTTGAATGAAGTAAATTGAATCTAGTTAGTTCCTCAAATAGAATATATTCAGTGCACTATTCAAGAAACACTTGTAAGTATGTTCATGAATTGTGTCATTTCAGGTGATGTATTTTTTTTGTCTCCACCAGACCATGGAAAAGGGACATAATATCACTGTATTTATTCTCCTGGGACTCTCTCACAACAAGAACATTGAAATCTTTTGCTTTGTATTATTTTTATTTTGCTATATTGCTATTTGGCTGGGAAATGTGCTCATAATGATGGCTATCACATGCACACAGCTAATTGACCAACCTATGTATTTCTTCCTCAATTATCTCTCTCTCTCTGATGTTTGCTATACATCCACGGTGACACCCAAGCTAATGAGTGACTTACTGACCGAAAGGAAGATTATTTCCTACAGTAACTGCATGCTACAGCTGTTTACCACCCATTTATTTGGAGGCATCGAGATCTTCATCCTCATGGGGATGGCCTACGACCGCTATGTGGCCATCTGCAGGCCACTGCACTACACTGTAATCATGAGCAGGCACAGGTGTAACTGGATCATCATAGCCTGTTGTTCTGGGGGATTTCTGCACTCTGCCAGTCAGTTCCTCCTCACCATCTTCTTACCATTCTGTGGCCCCAATGAGATAGACCACTACTTCTGTGATGTGTACCCTTTGCTGAAAGTGGCCTGCACGGACACACACACAATAGGACTCTTAGTCATTGCTAATTCAGGCTTAATTGCTTTGTTGACATTTCTTGTCTTAATGTTGTCGTACTTTTTCATACTGTATACCTTAAGAGCATACTCTGTGGAGAGCCGCAGCAAAGCACTTTCCACCTGCAGTTCTCATATAACTGTTGTGGTTCTGTTTTTCGCACCTGCATTATTCATTTACATCAGACCAGCCACAACATTCCCAGAAGACAAAGTGTTTGCTCTTTTCTACACCATCATCGCTCCCATGTTCAACCCTCTGATCTACACACTGAGGAACATGGAGATGAAGAATGCCATGAGAAAAGTTTGGTTTCATTGAATCCTACTGAAAAACAAGTAAATTTCTGAATTTTTTCTGCTTTTCATGGCATGGTTCCAAGAGACACAGTGCTAATGAAACCATTCTCACCTACCAGCTGTTGTTCGGGAATATAAATGGGCAAACACTAAAAATTTTCTTTCTGTTGCTTTATGTTTCTATATTGCAGCCCCATCAGTAGATGAAGGATTTTTCTTATTCATACTGTCATAAAACTTGCTTACTTATTAAGGTTATACACACATTATGAAATTACCAAATTTATTTTAAAAATAAATGATTATATAATATTATCCTGAAAAAAGAAATAGATTTTGCATTTTAGTGTCTTAAAATTAAGTGCCTTAACTGAATAAAATATTGTTTTCAATTTTTAAAGCTTATTACTGAAATATATGACAATACAGAAAAATGCATGTAGCACTAATGTGTAGTTAATGCATTTTTCCAAACTAAGCACAATCATATAATCAGCAACATGAGTAAGAACAGAAGTTATCAGTACCCCAGGAGTCCACCTCATGTCTCTGAATGATTAATATATCCCAAAGTTAACCATAATCATCTTTAAAATCAATTAGTTTTGCCTGTCCCTGTAATTTGTAAAATAAGACTCATACAGATTATTCTCTATGTTTGTGAGAGTCTTTTTTCAGGTTTGTGAATGATGTGATTTTTTTATTAATGTGTAGTATCTGATTTATGATTACACAGTCAAGCATTTTTCTCTTCTTTTATGACTAGACATTAGTGCAGTTTCTATTCAGGGATTTTGTGTATTTTGGTGCTTTCACATTTTGAAACATGTCTCATTGAATACATTATATGTTCTCTATTGTATTCTCATTGTTCTGTAAATAAGAAAATATTTTGAGAAAATAATTACTCATTTCAATACCTTTCCTTGCTATAGTACTGTTATATAATATAATACATCAAAGTTTAAAAAGAAATAATTATTCAAAATAAATAAGCCAGGGATTTAGCTCAGTGGTTTTGCTGCCTGCTGCGCAAGTTCAAAGACCCAAGTTCAATCCCCAGTACCAAATAATAATAATAATAATAATAATTATTATTATTATCATTCATAGAAAAACACCAGGTTGAGTGTAATAACAGGCTTGAAATAAGTGAAATTTCCTGGCACTTCTAGTATCTATGCAGTGAGACATGCAATATGATATGCTGATTGATATAAGCTCCCTGTAAATCCTAGACATAAAAAAGCTCTGAAAACAGTCATTTACACAATGGAGCTTAAAAATATATAAGTAAAATCTCTCCTAGGCATGTCTTATTCGGTTATGTTAGGTAGATTAGCAAATAGGTAATCCCTAATAGGAAATTTTGTCAAATAGGATCTTTACAGTAGCAGTTTGAATTCATTGCCATGGTAAGTTTAATAGTAAATACTGAATTTACATTCAAGGAAAGAAAAATTTGACTTCATGCATTCCCAGTAAGGGTAAGAATCCCACATTAGAAACCCGTGCTTGGGCCAGGGATTTACCTCAGTGGTTTTGCCACCTGCTGCACAAGTACAAGAACCCGAGTTCGATATCCAGTACCAAAAAAAAAAAAACCCATGGTGTGTGTTCACATTGATATCAGATCCCATCTCCCAGTACACACACACATACACACACACACACACAAACACACACACACACGTGCATACAAGTTCACAGACACATAGTATAGAAAGTAAGATCTTCAGAAGGAAATTGTATTTTTGGTATAACAAATAAATCTGCTTATCTAGAAGATTAAAAATGGGAGGAAATATTTACTTTTGTCCATATAACCTTATGTCATGGTTTACATCAAGAATGTCCCACAAAGGTCTACAGTGTTCAGATTTGAGGCTTATGTGCCATGATTGGATCATGGGGTAATGCATTCCTCAGTGAACTTATGCACTGGTGATTTTCATAGCAGAATGTATTCTGAGGACCTGGGGCCTGATCAGCATGGGTCCTGACCTGGAAGGGTATACAGAATACTTATCTCTGGCTACTCCCTGACCTCTGCTTCCAAGCTGCATGGTTTTCCCTCTGCCAGGCAGCTCTACCATCTTGTTTCTGCTTTGGAACTCACTGACCATGGACTGAAATTTTGAGCCGAAATAAACCTCCTCTCCTTTTAATTGTAAATAGTAAAATAAGCCTTCAAATTTTCTAAACCATTAGAAAACAACTAAACTAAAATCAAGAAATGAAAAAAGGATATTTTACTTAGAAACTTGATGGATAAAATATAGTATCCATTTTCTAACAATCAGGTAACTGAAATTTAGATATTAATAACTCAAAACACAGACTAGTAAGATAAGAATGACATGTGGGTTAGTGAACTGAGAAGGAAAGACCTTCCTTGAATGTGGGTGGGACCACTCAAAGGGCTGGAGATCCAGATGGAACAAAATCAGGAGGAAGCCAGCCAATATTTGCAAGCTTGATTCTTCTTGAATGGGTGTGACTTTTGTTGCTGTCATCATCCACAGACATCACACTCCCATTTCTTGGCCTCTTGACATAAACTAATCCCATCAGCCTGCTACAGTGGCTGCAGCATGGTTTCCTCTTGTATGAAGACTCCCACTTCTTAAACTGAGCAGGTACTTGTTTTTCTGGCTCTCTGCTTGCAGATGGCCAATGTTGGACTATCCAGACTGATCCTGTAGACCTATCTAATGAATCGCCTTTAATAATTATATCTGTTTATTGGTTATGTGTCACTAAAAAAGCCTGACCAATACAGATTTGTACCAGGAGTGGGGTCTACTCTCAATCTTCTTTCCCATTGTCCTGGTACAAAGTACTTGGTTTCTTTTTAACAGCACTTATTTATTCAGCAATGACAATCTTTCAGCCTCAGCTTTATATGTGCTTCTTTTCTGTCCAAACTACAAGTTTTTCAAATATTTCACTTCACTTTTGTTCCATATTTTTACTGGAAATCTGGCTATTATCTTGAATTTTTCTTCACCAGACAAGCATGACACCTTTTAATTCACCTTCACACAAAGTCGCAGGGCTGGACAAAATGTAGACAGGCACTTTGCCAGAATGTAATATGAATGATCTCTTCTACTTTCCTAATAGAGTTTTCATTCTTATCAAAAACCTAATGAGCCATGTTTTACTGTCTGTACTTGTTATGGCTTGTATCTAGATGTTCCCTCCAAAGCTTCATGCAGTTATAGGTAGGGCTCTTCCTAGGTGGCTGGATCTAGGGTGTGTGATACTGGGGTTATAAGGATGTGTGGTACTGGAGTAGTCCACTAATTGGTTTATCATAGTAGTGGGCATAAATAATGAAAAGGCCCACCTTGGGTGTGAGTGACACCACCCAATAGTCTGGATAGGATAAAACAGAAAGGGAGGCTTGTTGCGTGCTGCCTCCTGCCTGCATTGCCATGCACTGTTTCTCCTCTACCAATCTCCTCTGGCATGCAATCCTGCCTTGGAGACAGGTGACTGAAACCTCTACAAACTGTGAGCTGAAATAAACCTTTCCTCCCTTAACTTTGGGTATTGGGTATTTTGTCCCAGCAATGAGAAAAGTGACCAAGAAAGTATTCCTATCAGCATTCTTGTCTTCTGAGATGGCACCCATATTGCTTATTGAGCTTTGTGTCTGGCATTCCAGGGCTTCGCTAGCTGCTTCAAACATTTCCAATCTCCTACAAGCCAATACCAAAAGTTTCTGAACCACATTGTCAGATATAGTCACAGCAGCTGCCTGACTTCTGAGTACCAATTTTCTGCATTAGCTTTCTGCTACTGTGACAAAGTACCTGAGATAAACAATTTACAGGGAAAATATTTTGGCTTACGGTTTCAAAGGTTTCAGTTCATGACTGTCTGGCTTCATTGTTTCTTGGCATGTGGTGAGGCAGTTTATCATGGTGAAGCAAAGCTTGTCACCATATGGTGGATGGAAGTGGACAGAGCAAGATCTAATGAAGACAGGGTAGGAACAAAAAAATCAGGGTTTTGCCTTCATGATGTACAGTCTTCAAGTAAGCTCCATCTCCTAAGTTTCTATCACTTCCTGATAATGGTATTATTCACTGATGAGGTTACAACCTTCATAGTTCAATCACCTTCCAGAGCCCATCAGCTGGTAAACAAGACCCCAGTGCATGGCCTGGTAGGAACTTTTTTAAAATTTAAACCATAAATGTATCAAATAAATTCTGACTTTCTAAAATTTCTTCTTATTTTTCAAAGATGTAGAACTTCCTTTCAGGATGTCTCTATTTAGCTCACCATCTATTGCACCTGTTTGTAATTATCTTTCACCTAATTCAAGGACACAATCTATATGCCATGAATACCAACAAGCCCTATTTAAACAGCATTTTATCACAATATAAGCAATATGCATGCAGAAACAAGTAAAATTTATGGATGGAGAAAACCCCAGTGACTAAAAGGGATCACTAGGTAAGTGTCTGGTGTACTGAAGTAGTTTGTTCTTTGACACTGGATTCACAGAGTGGTCACCTTCTATGATTAACTGAGTGGTCCTTTTTCGTCTGTGCAGTTTTCTACACATGTACTTTAATTCATAATATTCTTTATTACTTTACTGTCATTCAACTATCACATACATGTAACTCATTTTTTTTTCCATTCAAGATGTTGCATCTGACAGCATTTCCTTGCTTCTATGTTTATGTATAAGATCTGGACACTAATATTGCATTCTTTATATTTAACATTTTTCACATTTTAGAACTAATTTCTAAACGTCTCCTCAATATTAAAGTGTATCTTGAGGGGCTGGGATTTAGCTCAGTGGTTCTGCCACCTGCTTCACAACCGCAAGGACCTGAGTTCAATCCCCAGTACCAAAAAAAAGTGTAGCTTGAAAAGTGGGAAAATGAAGGTGAACTGATGTTTCCAAACATTCAACTTGTGCTTAGCAAAATAGGATTCCCCAAAATGTCCATGACCAAATCCATAGAAGTTGTCAGTATGCTTTGATACATG